CATATTATTCTGTGTCAAAGTCTGTTCAATTTTATCCTTGTATTTAGCTTTCTCTGCTTTGATGACACGCTTTAGTTCCTTTTGAATTTCCTTTAGTTGTATCCTGTCACCCTGTCCGAAGATCTGCTTCTTCCGATTGATCACATCTTTAACTTCCTTTGTGATCCAGGGTTTGTTATTTGGGTAGATTTTGACCTCCATCGTGGAAATAGCATTTGCGGTACAAAAATTAATGTAGCAGCTAACTGCGTCTGTAAGGTCATTCAAATCAGGGTTGGCTTCATTGAATACGCCCCAATCCGTGCATTCCAATGACGCTTGCAATTCACTCAAGGCATCTGAATTCCATTGTTTAATCGACACAATCTTTGGTTTCTGACGCTGCACTAATGGTCGATACTTCGGTGACAGGAGCACCAAGTTATGGTCGGCTTGTCCCAGCTGAGGGAGAGGGGAGGCAGTATACGCGCCTTTTACGTTCGAATAAAATAAATCCAGGGTTGCCGTGCCACGTGTAGAGCAGTTGACATATTGGTGATACTGAACACTACTCTTCTTTAATGAGGCATGATTGAAATCGCCATTAATGATAACCATGGCATCTGGATTAGACCGTTCAATATCATGAATAGCTGAACACAATTCATCGGCACCCTGCTTGGCAACTGACCGATTAGGAATGTATATAGTTGAGTAAACTACATGAGAAAATTCCCGGGGTAGGTAATATGGGCGCAGACTGACCGACAGAATTTCCAAGTTGGGGGAACAGGAATGGCGTTTAATCACAGCATTGTTCGGATGACACCATTTCTCATTAACGTAGAGACAAACTCCACCACCACCAGCCTTCTCTGCATCGCTTAGGATCCTATCCCCTCGCAACAGTTTAAACCCATCTATTGCCACATGACCATCACTATCGGTGTCCTTAAGCCAGGTTTCAGTGAATGCCATGAGAGAGATGTTCCTGTAATCTTGTAGATACCGGGTATTTGCCTGAAGCTCATCACTTTTATTTCTCACGGACTGTACATTGCCCATTATAACTGAGGGTAGATACGGTTTGAACTTACGTTTCCGCATCAGTTTTTTTACTCCACCAGCTTTGCCACGTTTTCTACGTCGCATACCTTTAGGTAAGTCCAGATTCAATAGCCAAGCATTGTCATGCAAATGTAGGGTGTCCATAGCGTGCAGCTCTGCAGCAGAATATCGAATTGGGGAGCTCGTTGGCAACGAAAACCCCGTGTTTTCACACAATCCAAACGTCGAAACTAGCAATAGCACACATAGTCCCACACAATGTTAACACTGAACTTGCACACGCGTATACAAAAAGTGTAACTTTTTCGGTACCATAAGTATGTCATCAATTGCATAATTTCGTAAACATTTTCAAGCCAAATAAAGAGTATGGCTGAATTGCTAAGGAATTTCTGTAATAGTCGTAATTTTTACCCTGCCCGAATTCATCCCCCATTTGTAACTGGCTAAACTTGATCTGTACATTATCGGCCGCGATGCTGACGTTGGCGGCGCTCGTCGTCATGCTGGTCCCGTAGGGAGTATGATCAGTGATGTATGATCATTAATATATGATGTCTTTCCAAGACAGAAAAACAGCCTTGAAAGTGCTCTTCCACAAAAACATGGATATTATTTTCTCCTAATGATTTTTCAATTTGCATGTTTTGCTTTAACCCCAAAAAACCTACTTTTTCCCGATTTTGGGCGTGTGCAACCCTCTGAAAAGGCTTCATTTTGCGCACAAATGAAACAGTCCTGCGAAAGCCGCATCATTGTCTGGCAGCCAATAATATTTCGAACTTCATGAAGAAATAATTAAATAACTAAAAGTCGTTGGATTTTTTCGTTCGATGTCTCATTCAAAGGTGGATAACTATGATGTTGCTAGGAAAATACGAATGTATTTTTCGATGTGAAACTCGAAAATAGCACGGGAACGCTTCTTTAGTTTGAGATATTGTGGACACAATGGAGGGCGCTATTTTGTTTGGGCAAACTCTTTTAGTCTGGTTCCCAGACCAAAAGATTCTGACTATTCCTGAGGAATCTTAGGTCAGGTGGCCTCCATTGTATTACAATTTACGTCACGTGACTTAAACAGGAAGAATTCCTCCTTTTTCCGGAAATGTCCGAAGTTTGCCGAGTTCATTTCGTCGGCAATCGGAAAGCGCCCGAGTATATTTCCGAGTATAATATACGTTTAATTAACTGCTAATTGCTTATTAAAAACTTTAAAATTAGTTGATGATTAATATTCATTGCTTTCATTAAGAAAACTTGAAATTCAACGACGATTTTGTGCATCAAGTATACTATCACCATGATAAAATATCATGTTTTATATTTACTGTTTAAGTTGTATACGTTGACCTTCAAGGAACAGGACCACTTTCCTGGTAATGAGACACATCTAAGGAATGTCCAGTTTAGCCACAAGGTCCGCGTGGGTGGATGCTGGGCTGCACCGGAAGGCCACAGTGATTCAGCCCACGGACTTATAAGGAAATCCGATTGTTCTATTAATTTGCCTAGCCCTGCCCCCAGATACAAGTTGACCAAACACCTTCAATTCTGTATTATTAATATTCAATAGTTACTGAACGATTCCTAATAAGGCAAGAAACCTGTAAGATAGCTGTAAGATTGGAATGTTCATTTACTGTATAAAAAACCCGGTAGAATGTAGGAATCAGACAGAGAGCGTCACAGCCAACCGAATAAACCACATCATCCCAAGTACCACTTCGTCTCTTACTGTCTTACTTTGTCTATATAACCTCACGGGTTATAATACTCGGATCGTATGGGCGAACTTTTTGCTGCGTCATGTACTATTTTGAATTTGACGACCGTTACCGAGATTTTCCAAAACTCGGTCTTCACTCGGCTCCGCCAGATTACAGTGCTATTTGGGTGCCTAATTTTGAAGATTCCAGATCAACATTAGTCAATGTTATCTTACAGAAATATCAAACTGCATTATCATAACTGTATGATAATACGAAGCAAGTGATTTATTTACAAATTTGATCAGAACATTAAAAGCTATATTAAAGCGAAATCGGAAACGAAGCCGAGCTTTGAAAAAGGGCCGTCAATGTCGTCACGTATATTTTTAGCCACGGAGGCTGCCTGACCTACAATTTAGACGTGAGCGTTGGGATTTTTTGTCAGGTCTAGGGAACCAGACTAAAACTCTTTTTGTGTTAACTAATATTTACCCCAAACCTAATAGCGCCTCCGCATTGTAAATGGTTATTTTCAGTGTTAACTTAGATGAAACAAACAGTACGTGAGAAATAGGGAAAGATTGGAATTGCGTATCCAAATTGAAATTAAATAAGATATATTTTTCCTTCTGTGATATGACTCCAGTTTCTTTTCTGAAAATAAAACAAATGACAAAGCAAACGAAAGGCAAGACACAGCGGTCTGTGTCAGGATGTCAATGTTTATTTTAATTCGTCATAGGTTTGTGATATTTCACCCAGTGGATTTATTCTAAGTATACGTGGTAGGCGAGGGCGCCAGTAATAAGTTTGTAATTTAATTTCAGCTTAAAAAGCTCTGATAAAAAAGTTGATCACACTAAAAACCGATGCCATATTTTTTATTTCAAGTCATTCCTTTCCTTAGTTTGTAAATACGAAGAATAATCGTTAAAGTGAAACAAACAAGACTAGGCTTGCCTAATCGAGCTGTATCTGAAAGTCTTTTTTTTCCCCTTTATTCTTCCTTTGATGTTTTCTTTGAGACTCGTTTCTGCTTTACGAATATCTTTCCTTTAAGGGAATTATTCCCTTATGACGAGGCCTACGAGTTCGCTTTGTGAGTAACTAAACGGTCTTAACCAGGGTACAAAATCTGTAATAGCCGGTTGTTCGTCACACTGTTTGTATGCTATTCGTCAGATTGTCGGATCGCGCGCGCTGTATACAGCGCGTGTGCGATCCGATACATTTACGATCGAATACATTTACGATCAAATAAAAACATATCGCACAACTCCATGTAGTTCGTTTAACTAGTTTTAGGGGAAATATTATGCATTGTACATGTAGCGTGCAATGTTATTTGATCATAATAGATAAGTGTAAAATGAATTTAGTCTTAAAAAGTCATCGTTTACGTGACATTTTTGACAACGACAGTAGCACACCATTCGTTGGTACTTTGAACGCACACCTTACATCAGTTGGTTACCAGCGAAATTCCGTATTCGCACTATGTCAAATAATGGATTTGTCATGACAGATTCGCCACAGGCGGGGCTCCGAATCTCGAAATCCAGACAGGAATTAATAATTTTGGCATTAATACTTGAAAGAGCAACCTTCAAAAACCACAAAATCGTCAAAACGGTCGGTTCGCCGGTTTGTCAGCTCTGCGACGATTTACCGGAAGTGCAAGTAAAGCCATTGCTGGAATGCCTCAGGCAGGCGTAATGCTTCACTCTCGCGTAATGGTGGCATGAACCAGGAAGTAGAATGAAATAAATAAAGACCAGTGTAGAATATACAGCTAGCATTTCCAATGTCACTCCTGCAAATATGCACATCATGAGGACTGTAAACGAACTAAAGTTCTTGCTACATTCTTGACTCAAAATCAAATTGGAAACTATTTTCTTCCAAAAGCTTTCCTAAGGACATCATGGACGGGTTTAATGTTTTGGTCGGCAGGCCTCACCGTTGTATTATTCAACAGATGACATGACAATAAACTCCAATACACACTCTTCTTTTGATCTCCCAAACTTTATCATTCCCCCAGAACACTACAAGAAGGTTTAAATGCAGATGAAAACTAAGATCTACTTCTAAGACTGGAAGACCTCTATAAAGAGTCAGTAAGACCCTGAAAATTACAATGAGTGAGGGCACAATTAAACACAGTTTTGTAACAAATTTGTCGGTCTAATGATTATACATTTTGAATAATGAATTATAAACAGAAAGTCAATATCTCACCCCAGTATCTTTAGCTTCGTGTATTAAGGAAGGCTGCCCTCCGAAATAGCACACAGCCTGGAGAGAAGGCTCCAGCCGTCACAACATATGTCTGGCTCAGCAAAAACTTGTCGAGTACGTCTGTAGTACAAACGCTATACGTATGTGTTGCCACGAACTGACCTTGGCACACTGTGTGAAAAGGCCCTGGTACATGTTGCACACCTGTAAACAGGCCAAAAATCCGTCCGCCGAGCTCATGAATAGAAGTTATATCTCAAAATATTCTATATTAGAGAGTTCTGAGAGCCATGGAATTGATGAATTGAAATCATGTGGCACTGAACCTCTAGCCTGGACTTAGAGCTTCCAATTCTCAGCATTTTGGATGCAATCGGGCCCGAAAGTGGCGCTATTTAGCCATGTTGTAGAGTGGTTCTTTTTCAAAATGGCTACTTTTCCATTTTGGGAAACAACATTCGTTTTAAGGGTGTTCTTCTTTGGGTGAGAATATCTCAAAAAGTCAATTGTCAACCCACCGAAAATTTAAAAGAAAATGAAAAGTGACATGTTGATCATCATTTTTCTGCAGATCCTGATCACCTGTGGGAGTTATGAGTACATGTATTTTTAACAGAATTGTGAAGTGTGGGCATTTATCTTTAGTGTCTGTAAGAATTTTAATACAATTTTAAATGTAAAAAACTAAAAAATATGGGGTGCCAGATCGGACAAAATATTAGTTTGGACGATTTTTTATGATCCACCACATTTATGTCTGGCGTTTGCTACATAATCCATAGTATTTAAATTTTGACCCTTTTGAAGAACAAGTAACTCTCGATCTCCGAGTTGAGGAGCTGTGATGTTTGTTTTTTTTCAGCTCCTGGTTCCCTGATTACTAATACTAGCAGCACTATCCACGTCGCACGATGCAAGTACAGTCTCTGCAGCAGCTACAGCAGCAGCGCCCCTTTGTATTGCATAACTGCAATGTAACAATCAATTACTACAGCAACAATATGAACTAGAGGTTGTAGGAACAACCACACGGTGTTGGGCCATGGATTACCGCAAACTTTGCCACACACATCAACTCAAAATATGCATGTTTAAATCCATGTTTGACTTTTCAACATGCCGCCAGAGGGCGCTCTAACATTTGATGACGTAACCTGTAACGTTGTTGTACAGTACTGCCCAGACACTCGAATCGTTGAAAGCAAGTTCGCATCTTCTGCCAATTTCAATTAATAAGGCACTTCCGGTTTTGACCGGAAGGAAGGGTCACGTGATTTTGCACTTAATACCAAAACTGAAGACCCTGCAATATTGTATCGATTGCCATAAAAAACAAAATCAAATCTGTAGCAGTTGATTTTATATTAATTTTCAAAGATTAAATCTAGAAATCTTTGATTGCTTGTAATACGATACTTGATGACGTCATTATGATGTCATTACCAGAAAGTTCAAGAGCTATTTTAACTGTGCTATATACAGCCAAATCTTGATTATATCTATCACGGTATATTTTCTAGCAATTTTTGAAAGTTTAAAGGTCTTTTTATTGTAACTTCCGGTCTGATGACGTAATCTTTTTTTTTCGCGCACAGGTGTTGCCTGCATTATGGTCATCTTGTACATTAACTTTGAAGCGATTACCGCAAACTTCGCCACAGACATCAAGTGAAAATGCGTTTTTGACGTTTTTTAACCTGCCGCTAGAGGGGGCTCCAACACTTCATGGCGTCACCCATTATTTTTTTTGAAAGGTCAATCCAGGCAGACACTTCAATCGTTTCGACCGGAAGGAAGGGTCACGTGATTTTACGCGCACAAAATAAAATGAAGATCATGTATTACCATGTCGATTCCCGCAAATTTCAGGTTCCGGTCTCTCATGGTTGATTTTATATGGAATTTCAAAGATTAAATTTATTAAACTTTGAAGTGACGTCACGTGATCCGTGATGACGTCATGATTATGTAATTGCAAAAAAGCACATCTGCGGTAGGTTGTGCATTCATGTATTGACAATTGAAGTTCATATATGTTTTCATTTTGACACACAGTTCTGGAGAAGGAATGTGTATAGAAGAGAAAAAAAACTAAAAACCCTAGCAAAAACAATAGGTTTTGGGCTAAAGCCCAACACCTAACAATAGGTTTTGGGCTAAAGCCCAACACCTAATAATAGTAAACCCTTACAATAACAATAGGTGTTGGGCTCAAGGCCCAACACCTAAACAAAAATAAACCGCGTTGCCGCACCACTTTTTGGGCAAGCTCCATACCAGAAACCGGAGACTTTTTTTTTTGGCCATAAGGCCAAAAAAAAAAATAAGTCGGTCTCTGGTCAGCGCGCGCGTCGATTTTAATCATGCGCGTCAATCTTTTTTCCCAAAATGTTCCGCTGTAGCTCCAACAGCGCCCTCTATTGCCGCACCTCCTCAATTTTTTTTTCAAAGAGCACCAAGGAATGGGAAATTGCACCTAGGCAAATGATCGAGAGCACCAAGGCAAATTATGGAGGACACCAATGTACATGAGGACACCAAAAAAGCAAAATAGTACCCCACCTTGTCTGTACAATCCAAGCTTGAAGAAAAAAAATAAAAAGCTGCGTCCCCACGTCAATTCCAGAACTTCGGTCTGACCAGAGACCGAATATTTTTTTTTTTGGCCTAAGTACTATTTTTTTTCACAAAGGCATAGTATCGGATGAGCTGAACTTGGACAGGTTTTTTAAACAATGCATTAGAATTATAGGCGTTGGTCTCGGTAGAATGTACGATGTGTTATCAGTTTATTTACTCAAAGTATCCGTAGAATGAAATAGGAATCGACTTGAATCGAATTCAGCTGGAATAGACGAAACACAAGAAATACAAATGTTTCCGGGGACGTTCGATATAAGACAGCCAGCAGGAATAATCTTTGAGGCCCGCGACTGGCTGCATAAGTTAGATCACGAAGTCGAGCTTTGATACTGTGACACTCGTGTAAAAAACTTTGGTCAGAATGGACGAGCAACTATACGGTCAAACTTGACTGGTACTTTAGAATCAGCTGGGGCTGAAACGATCGGCTTGCATTTCCTGAAAATTGCAGTTAAGTTCTTAAAATAAAAAGAAAGAAACCGAGAAATAATTTGACACAGTTGTTTTTAAGGCTGGTACTTATAAGAAAGAGGACCTACCTTGAAGCCGTTGTATGCGGAGGATGCTACGGTAGCTATAAGCTTATGAAGGAAACGAAATCGAATTTAATGTACAATATTTTCAGTACTTCGTTTCACACCACCAACTGTCTTACTGATGGGTTGCTCTTCAAGTGAAATAAATAGCAATCGTGGGGCTTGAAATTTATCACGAAGTGTTAAACCTATTTGCTTGTACATTAGCTTACAGCAACCGCCCCATCCGAGCTCACAGATGACTAATTAAGCCCCGCCCAGTGGTGTTTGACCAATCACAGCCCTGATTTAATGTCCGACAAGCGTGCACAACTTTACGTCCGACATGCGTGCGCGCATCATGTATTGGAAACATTATACTTACACAACACGTGTTTTTTTGGTTATAATAATACGTGCACAGTAGGCGGGGCCTAATGGGCTGATCTATTGCTTTGCAACCTCCGTCCCACGGTGTCGAGCAGTACGCTCCCAGTGCCTGCAGGCTTTCTCAACCTGGTATTTGACCTTTAATTGTGCGTGTTAAAAAATCTTGCACATGCACTAGGTACGCAGGCGTGGATCCGGTGGGTGTCAAACACCCCCCCCCCCCCCGTTTTGATTCAAAACAATTATGACAATGATAGCAATGTGCATGATCGTCGGATTTGAACAGCGCTCCCATCTGATATTGCTTTCTGAAGTACAGAATGAAGATTTGCGCTTTACCGTATTTTATGGTTTGTTGGAAAAGGGAACTGGATTAGATATATTTATTTTGGATTTGCATATTTATTTAGAAAAAACATGTTCTGGACAAAAGGTATTTCAATTAAGTTCTCACAAATATGTGGTCATAGTGTGTTTTTTTCCCTCAAACTTCCTCATTACGTGTATTTCACAAACAATACTGAGAAAACCTATGTTTTTGGGGTTCACTTTTTCGTGGAACAACCATGGCATCACAGGTTCTAAAATGGGCCTATACTACGTAAAGCAGGGTTTGCACTTTAAATGTTGTCTTTGGGAAAGAGGAACTATGTGCTTCATATTTATTTTCTAAACACGTAGGCTTGTGCCGAACGAAGGTTTCAAACTAAAACGGAATCACCGTTAACCGTGTGGTCATGCATTAATTTTATTTTTAAGCTTCCTCATTGTTTTCGCACACAGTTTTGTTTAACAACACTGTGTTTTTCGAAAATATCAAGGTACAACCATGAAGTTCTAAAAGTTATCCACAAAGCAAGATTTGCACTTTACAAGTGACAGAGTAGATTTAATGAGGGAACCATATTTTTTATGTTCAATTGTAAACACAGACGATATGTTCTTGCAACATGTTCACAAAATAATCATGTATTTTTTTGTACTCTCAAACCAGTCCTCATGTTTTTTGGCGCATTCGGGAACAACAGTACTAGTCTACTACATAAGTTCTAAATCATAATGTACCGATCGAGTCATCATCGGCGACCAGTGGGCCCCCATGCGCATAAGGCGGCCATCTCCGAATATCAACGTCTGCAGCGCAGCACGCCCAGTTTCTGGGTCCGCGATATGGGGTTGGGCCCGCGTGGTAATGAGTAATTCTTCTATAAAATCTGCACCAATCACGATTTGACTGCCCGCAAATTCTCTGCTACATTTGCCATAAAATGATGAACTTGGGAACATTTGCCATGAACTTGAGGGTCACAGTTAAATATAAAAAAACGAGAGGTTGTAGGAACAACCACACGGTGTTGGGCCATGGATTACCGCAAACTTTGCCATACACATCAACGCAAAATATGCATTTTTAAATCTTTTCAACATGCCGCCAGAGGGCGCTCTAACATTTGATGACGTCACCTGTAATATGTTTGTACAGTACTGCCTAGGCAGTCACTCACATCGTTGAAAGCAAGTTCGCATCTTCTGCCAATTTCAAATAATAAGGCACTTCCGGTTTTGACCGGAAGGAAGGGTCACGTGA